AAAAAAAACAACCTCGGCCCAAACTAACAGAAAAGTCCCCCCCCCCCTCTGTGGGGGTATTTATTTTGTTTTATAATAATTATTAAACAAAAAAGTCATTGGTGAAAACGTAGACCAGATCTAGGGCCTACGTGATTTTGAATGTGTTCATATAAATTTACCAAGGTAAACTTGGTCTTTCTGCCCGTCTCCCAGCACCACCCCACTCACCACCCCCTGGGCCTCTTTTCCCCCTAGCCTCATATACACAGGGTTCTCAAATTTACCAACAGCGCGCTACCGTAAAATTCAAGAGATGATGTGGCCTGTTGCAATATCCTAAGTTAAAATACAGACTGCTTCAGCTTTATCAAAGACCAATCCTCTTATAATTATGCATTATAGGTTTCAAATGATAACTTATCTCTGCTGGCAATAGTAAATAGAGGTGCAGAGTTGTGTTGATTTTTTAATGAATTATTATGATTTTTTTATTGATATGGTTTGTATACCTTATTGACTTTCTAACAACATTATAATTTTTAGTATCGAATTAAAAATATTTAAGATGTCTAACGTGACCGGGCCATGGTTCATTCGGGTATATGGTCACTATGTATGACCAATATTGTTTGATAAAACTGATGTATAAATAAGAATACCCCCTCCCCACAAAAAAAATAAATATATATATATATATATATAAATTATTGTTTTTTTGCTTTTTTAAATAAATGGTGGAGTCCTTCATTATAGTGAAATGGAATCTGAATTACAATGAAATTTTTTGTTTACAAATTTATAAATATTTCATAAAAACACATTTTGCCTGACGGGGGATCGAGCCAGTGTCATTTGCGTCTACCGTTTAGCAGAGGTCCGAGTCCCTTCACCACGAAGAGATCCATCCTTACCCGAGGTACACACTGACTGAAACGCTTACACAACCGGCCGTATGAAGTGTTATTGGAAGCGTGTTATAGCTGCATCTTTGTGACGCTGTCAGCCGTGGTGATTGTAAGTCACATCGAGCTGTATTTGCATCTTTGTCATGCTGTCAGCCGTGGTGATTGTAAGTTACATCGAGCTGTAGTTGCATCTTTGTCACGCTGTCAGCCGTGGTGATTGTAAGTCACATCGAGCTGTAGTTTGTCACGCTGTCAGCCGTGGTGATTGTAAGTCACATCGAGCTGTAGTTGCATCTTTGTCACGCTGTCAGCCGTGGTGATGGTAAGTCACATCGAGCTGTAGTTGCATCTTTGTCACGCTGTCAGCCGTGGTCATGGTAAGTCACACCGAGCTGTAGTTGCGTCTGTGCTGCGCTGCCAGCATTGTTAATACTTGAGTACGTTCAATATTTTAATAGTCCAACTGTATCGGAAATAGGTTGTTTCGGAATGGTTCCAAGCGTTAAGATTCCCAAAGATTTCATACAAATCGTCAAGAATAAGTCCGTGTGACGATATTCAGCTCTTAAGGGGATAACAGATACCCATAGAGAGAGAGAGACGCTTCATGGAACGCTTAACTTAGATCGGATAAGGGGATTTAATTATTGAAGGAGGAAAAACAAATTAGCCAGGCTTACTTACCTTTCTTCTTCTGGGTGGGCTTGACAAAGGCCTCGGGGCTCACGCACACCCCACGCTCGTATCTCGGCAGGCGTGAGCACTCCAGCGTGTCGGGCCACGACACGTTGTACGAGTTCATCAGGGGCTCGCACCCCGCTCGCGCCTTCTCGCACACGCTCCTGCACGGGGGTATGGCCTCGGGCTGGAGCGCGACGGCGCAGATGGGCACGTGGAGCGAGCAGAGCAGGAACAGGAGGACGTCGCTGCACCTCTGGTCCAGGAGGACCTCGAACTTCTCGAACACGAGCCTGGCGTTCTCCTGGGTGCCGTGGTGCAGGAGGTTCGGCATCTGGGTCATGTTGTACGGCATGGCCCGGCAGCGGGGTATCTCTATGGGCTCGCACTGTTCGATGCGCGCGAGGAACGCGCGTGCCGCCACCAGCATGCAGGTCAGCACGACCGCAGCGGCGGGTCTGTTCGCAGGCGACGTCATGGCTCACAGTAACCCGTCTAGCCTTTTAAGTCTACGCACGACAATGCCAAACGAATTCGGCGACGACAGCTTTGCCCAGCAAGGATGAACAGGAACGAACTTCATTCACCACGAATGAAAATTCTGGTGTTTTTTTCAATGTCTTTTATCTTTTAAGATTACATTCGAGTTTGACATAAATATTCCTCATCGACGAAATAAGTTGACTCCACTCTACAGGACTGAGCGAATCGCTATAGGTGAAAATTTTATAGAAAATGGCGTTTGAAAAAAAAAAAATGAACATGTTGGCCAAAAAAATTCATCCCTTCTCTAGACGATCCATTACCGCGGTAATTATTTCTTTTCGGGTATTTTTGAGCGACTACTTTAACAAAAAAAAAAAAAAAGAAAGATATGTTCTTGTGGTGTAGTAAATAATTGTCTCTTTCTTTTTCAGTTGTCTACTCTTTTTCAGTTGTCTACTCTCTACACAATCATTTTATTTGATTCGAAGTCGAATATAACATTCACATTTAATTTTTTTTAAATATTCAAAAAATATTTTTAAAAACTGCTTGTCGATTTTTAGAAGTCAAATCCAGTTGAGACTTCTTACGAGGCCGCTTTGATGCTAGCAAGAGCAGTCCTCCGTACACAGAGCAGTCCTCCTTACGCAGCGCAGTCCTCCATACACGCAAAAAAACGAAGAAGAAATTAGTACGTTTTATGCTGTCTGGCGTTGGATTAATCAACTTTTTGAACACAATCAAAATTTACTCTGAAGTAGCACTACTTCTAAACTCAAAGAACTCCTCAACTTGCCTCAAGAAATCAAATACATTGTATTGTCCGACTCCGAGAACTCCACATTTATATACTCCGGCCATGGGAAAACAAGAATGGCGCCCGAGGTAAACACACCCCCAGGGGGTATCACCGCCGAGACTTATCCAGGACTCCATTCACAAACTTGTAACCAACCAAGGCCCTTTTTAAAAATATCTTTTGATTTAAAAAAAAGGTGGGTGTATCCAGGTCCACCTACCACAGGACGTCGTCACTATGCGGGTCTCCAAACCCAGCCCGACCTCTCTCTCTGCGCGCTTGTCTGCCACGCGCCTTTGAACATCCATCCTGTCCATCAATCAACGCGTTGACTCCCCTCCCCACCCCCACCCCCCGCTTCCCCTTTCGACCCCTTTTACACATCACTTTAAAAAAAAAAAAAGTCTTTTAGTTAATATATTGTAATACAAACGTGGGGAAAAATTCACTTCTTATC